TGTTACAGCCACCGTGTCAATCCATCTCACTGAGGATCTCCCTCTTTTACGCTGACCTTTACTTTATATGATGTCCTACTCCAGCAATTGGTCCCTCCTGATGACATGCATGTGTGTGTATATATATATGTAATTTAACAACCAGGATATATCTTTCCATATTTTTATCCATGCTATATAAGTATCTGCAGACTATTAAAAAAAAAAACAAAAACCAAACCCATTGCCATCAAGTCGATTCTGACTCATAGCGACCTTATAGGACAGAGTAGAACTGCCCCATAGGGTTTCCAAGGAGCAGCTGGCGGATTCGAACTGCCAACCTTTTGGTTAGCAGCTGAATGATTAACCACTGGCGTCACCAGGGCATAATAAATTCATATATACTTTGAGGTTTTTGAAGACTTTTTTGTTTTATTTATTTTTTACAAAATGGGATCATATTAAAAACACTTTCCATATCATACTTATTTTACTCAAGTATATATCATTGAAATTCCCCAGTGTTAACTCTTACACGACTGAATAATATTCTATGGTGTGGATATACTGATACTTACTGATCCATTTCTCTAACTGTGGAGATTTACTATGGATCCAAGGGTTGTTTTCATTTGTTTTTTGCCACTGTTACAATGCTGCCTTTTCATTTCAGTAAATCACTACTTCGGGAAAATTAAAATAGCTATATAGAGTTCCAAGAATTATCACCTTATTTCAATTTTTTTAAGTTTGACTATATCTCTCTCATAATCATTCTATAACTCAGAGTTTTAAAACTTGTTAATGTAAGGAGCTTTTCATGCTCTTAAAACTTATTGAGAAATACCAAAAAGCCCTTGTTTTATGTGGTTTACAACTAACGATATTTACCATATAACAAATTAAAACTGAGAACACTTAAAGATATTTATTAGTTCACTTAAAAAGCTATGACAAACCCATTACATGTTAACATATTTTTATGAAAAATTACTGTATTCTCTAAAACCAAAAAATTAGTAAGAAGAGTGGTTGTTCACAGTTTTCAAAATCTCTTTAATGTATGGCCTGATAGAAGACAGCTGGTTATCATATCTGCCCCTGCATTAAAGCTCTTACTGTATATTGTTTTGGGAAAAGAATATGAAGAAATCCCTTCTCACGTATATGTGTGGGTAGAACAGGGAGAACCTTATGAACTCCCTTAAAAGGTCTTGGGAAGCGCTAGGAGTCTTCAAACCATCCCTTGAGTATCACTGCTCTAAGCAAAATCTGTTGCAAAGTTAGTTTGGGAAATTCCTCTTCTGGTAAATATGGAAGATAAGA